CCCCTCCCCTTCACTGGAAACCCCAAATTACACTTAGCACCTAAAGAGCTGAAATTTCGCTTTCTCCTCACGAGAAAATTATTAGCAAATAATATTCGCATTCTCATAGTTAATTGCAGTGGTAGTGGCTCTGCCACTGTAATCTTTTTTTCCATGGGCTCAGCTGTGGTGGTACTACTTTAATAAGCGGTATAACTTCCGTCTATAAGATAACATCAGTGGGTAGTGTTAGGCCCATATATTCCACAGTGACTCTGACAACTCATTTTTCTCTGTAAACATATCTCTAAAGGTGCTATTGACGTGAAATTTTCACCAGACGTTGGTAACAGCCCAAGTATTCAATTCATACAAAGAAACCAAAACAAATAACCTCAGAAATTAACTTATGTGTAATAATGTGAAATGACACAGGTATAAAGTATTGAATACGCTTACTTAAATTTATTTAATGCTTCTTACAACCTTTGTTGGTAATGACAGCTTCAAGACGCCTCCTGTATGGAGAAACTAGTGGCATGTATTGCTCAGGTGCAAACAGTCTTCAAATCTTGAAGGTACCGTGGGCCTATTCATGAACTCAGATCTTTAGGTCTTTACATAGATTTTCAATTGGATTCAAGACAGGTGATTAGCTGGGCCATTCTAGCAGCTTTATTTTCTTTTTAAAGTTTCCTTGGCCTTGTCTTCAAATCCTCAAATCCTCTTCATTAACTCTGAAATGTAGTTCTTTCCATAGATTTTCAATTGGATTCAAGTCAGCTGATTGGATGGGCCATTCTAGCAGCTTTATTTTCTTTCTCCGAAACCAGCTGAGAGTTTCCTCGGCGGTGTGTTTGATATCATTGTCTTGCTGAAATGTCCACCCTCGTGTCGTCTTCATCATCCTGGTAGATGGATGCAGTTTTTTTTTTTATCAAGAATGTCTCAGTACATTTTCCATTCATCCTTCCTTCAATTATATGAAGTTTGCCAGTACCATTTGCTGAAAAACAGCCCCACACTATGATGTTGCCACCTCCAAACTTCACTGTTGGTATGGTGTTTTTGGGGTGATGTGCAGTGCTATTTGTCCATATAGAGAAAGAAAATAAAGCTGCTAGAATGGCCCATCCAATCAGCTGATGTGAATCCAATTGAACATCTATGGAAAGAACTACAGTTTAGAGTTCATGAAGAAGATTTGAAGACTGTGTGGAAGAATGGGTCAAAATCACACCTGAGCAATGCATGCAACTAGTTTCTCCATACAGGAGGCATCTTGAAGCTGTCATTACCAACAAAGGCTTTTGTACAAATTATTAAATAAATTTCAGTAAGCGTGTTTGATACTTTTTACCTGCGTCATTTCACATTATTACACAAAACTTAATGTCTGAACTTATTTGTTTTGGTTTCATTGTATGTATGGATTACTTGGGTTGTTACCAACATCTGGTGAAAATTTCATGTCAATAGCACCTTTAGAAATATGTTTACTGAGAAAAATTGTGATGTGTTCAATAATTATTTTCCCTGCTGTATATGGGATATACCCTTTCCCCAACCATTTACATTATGCCCACTTAAAAGCCAAAAAGCCACTGTAATGTCAAGGAGAGTGTGCCAACTTCCTTCTTCCCACACATATCTCATAAGCTAATATCTACACTACCACTACACCATCTGCAAAGCCAACAAACTTTAGATAAAGAGTCATAAAAATGAAGCCCTTAACAGCAAAGGGAGGTTATTACATAGCTATGGTAAAAAGCAAATATATTGAGCCTGTAAAACAGGTGAAAATGAGGACTTTAGACTTACTGGCTGACTTTAAAGACTTTATTTGAGACAGCCTGAAGACTTGATATGACCTGAGACTTTAAAGCCAGAACATGATCCGTCTTAACCTGGGAAAATCCTTGAGAAATGAAAAATGAGACAGCAGCAAGCACGCCTTGAATAGCTGTGCCACATAGTTTGTGTACTTTATGGCTTATTACCCAGAATGTGACTTTAAACAAGGTAAAAATAACAGAACAAATAACTTCCATCTCTACAAATCTTACAACAAACAAAAGCGGACTACGCCATAAACCAAGGGTGTCAAATATACAGCCCAAGGGCCAGAACTGGCCTGCTAAAGGGTCCAATCCGACCCACTGGATGACCTTGCACACCTAATAGTGATGCACTTGTGAAGGCTAAGCGGTGCCAGGTTTCAGGAGCAAGTTAAACATTGAGTCGTTTTCTTCATGTAAAATGCCAATAATACACTTATTTTCTTTCACTTTAGTTTGGTGTGGTGTTGTCAGGATTACTACACACAAGTAGAAATGTATGGATTAATGCATATGTAATGATTGTGAGTAGCAGACTGACTGTGGAACAACTGAGAAATATTATTGAAATTGCATTTATTCTTCTGAAGACATCACAGTCATCTGTTTTGTAAATTGATTATCGTTTTTTAAAAATGTACTTCTTTAAACAATTTGGAGCTATTTATAGGATATTAGGCAAAAGTTTTATGGCTCCAGCCCACCTGTGATCAAGTCAGCCTGAATGTGGCCTATGAACTAAAATGAGTTTGACACCGCTGCCTTAAAATTTAGCTGTTCATGCTTCATTAGACAGTGTCACCACAGTAGGTTAACCTGCAACATGATGATTAACAAAAGTGCTATCAGATGGCACTTGTATTTGTGCATTTATGAAGTCATCATTATTGACAGTGTTTAAATAAAGCCACATGTTCTAGAACAGGACAGAAAAACCCCAAAAGAAAACAAATATTTCACATCTCATACAAGAGATTACATTTCATTCTTAAGGTAAGTACAGCCATTTGCTTCTGATTAATTAATTTCACTGGTCATAATCAGTGGTGGAAAGAAACTAAGTACATATACTCAAGTATACTGTACTTATTTACACTTGCTTTACGGAAGTATTTGCAATTTTTTTGCTACATTATACTTTTACTCTACTGCAATTCAAATGAGTATCTTTTATTTTTTACTTCACCTCATTTATTTGATAGCTTAAGGTACTAGTTAGGTGACTTTGGAGCAAAACGTAAACATGAATGCATCAACAATTATAATCCAATAATAGAAAATGTTATTCTGAAATGGACCATCCTGCTTAATAACTACTTTAACTTTTAGTACTTTACTATATTTTTACAGAGCAGTGTTGCTTTTTACTTCAGTGAAAGATCTGAGTACTTCTTCCTCCTCTGATTATACATACCAGAGGGCAATTTTAAGTTCTGACTTAAGAAAAGCCGAACAAATAATGTATATTATATTCAAAAATACAAAAAAATACTAACCACTTGTGGTTGTCGGTACACTTGATTATTGATCTTGCCTATGTTTTTGTTGGGACAGAATTAGCAAAATGGCTGTCCAACCACCTGTGTACAAGTTGTTTCATCTCAGGCCCTCAGCAGCTCAAACCAGCATGGATGCTTTGGTGTCAGCATTGTGGCGTAGACTCTTGCCTGGACGGTACTACGGACAAAACCACAGGCTGGATCACCTTTTTGCCAGGATGACCCTCTGGCCAGAACTGGTAACCCTGCAGCTCTGTCCCTATTATTTTGACCAGGTCACTTACAGCCTTCCTACCAGAGACCAAGTGAAACACATGTGGGTACCACTACTTTTGATTTCCACTGTGATTTCTACATTAAGTCATATTCAGGGGGGTTCACAGTTTTTCATTGATCCCCAGCCTTTGTTTTAATCTACTTTATAGTTTGGGATGTACAATTGAAACTTAGAATCTCTCCTTATTTTAACTTGAATTAAATGTACTTTATAAAAGTCAAGCTATTCCTGAAAGGACTTTGATCCTTAACCTGTCAATGTAAATCCATAATACTGTGGTCATATTTGCTGTGCTGCTTGGTGTGCATTTGTTGTAGTAACACTGCAGCTTGGGTGCTATAATGAGAGATCTTCCCCCCACTTGTGGTCTAAAGGGAGCACTGCAACCTCAGGCTGCACATCTTCGACTCCTGGGCAGACTTAAAACAAGAGAGGCAGAGAGCCAAAGTGCAGCATGGAAGATGCTATTCAAGCACGAATCGAGAGGCCCGGCCCAGCACTGGCATCACTTTGAGACGACTCTGTCAATTCCAAGATCGAAACACTGGCAGGAGTTTGTCCACAGAACAGTATATTTATTTGCTGTATGGCTACCACAGTTGTCTACAACCTTGAGTTGTCTCATAGCTGTTATTAAAATATGTTATTATAGATGGAAATGTTGAGCATGTGTCTGATGTTTTCTGTGATAAATAACACCTTTACGAGCGTGTTTGACAAATACATCTCAGGTTAGTACCCTTTTTAGTCACACTGATTTTGTACAAGTAATCAATTCCACCCTTAAGGGCAACATTTCCCGTCTACCTTGCTTTAAAATGTTACGCGACAGAGTCTGAGTGGGTGAACATCTCGCTGCCAGTAAACACAGCACCACTGCTGAACAGTATAAAAGCTGGGTGGATACGAATGACGCAATGCAAGACCATAGCTGAGGTAACTGTTGAGTCCACAGCTTGGTAACAATAATCACGACTAGGGCTTGTACGATACAGATATTTTCATTATTGATTATTCTGTCAATTTTCTCAATTATTTGTTAAAATTAAGAAATAGTAAAAAATAAATAATAAATGAATTTTCAAAAGCCTTAGTTGACATTCAAATTTCTTCCTTTTGTCTGACCAACAGTCCAAACCCTTAAGATCTAATCCAATTCAAATAATTTAATCTAATTTATTCAATTCAATATCAAGTCACATTTGAGAACCTGGAACCAGAGGGAAGACTTAAAAGCCATTTAACCAATTAATCAAAAAATTAATTACATTTTCTGTTGACCAACTAATCAATAAATAAGACTATTTCCCAACATTCACCTGATAAAGAAGGTCATAACGGTAGCTGTATAATTATCTTCAATCATAAGCCATATATTTCAAGGCAGACAAACAATGACAATCATTTTGTTTTTTATGGAAAACATTTTTAATGGATTTTTTTATGTAACGTCTTGTTGAGTGAGTACATATAGATACAAATGTTCTCTCCTAGCTACAGTCAGGGCCAGATATTTTTAAGAACCAGCAGAGTGCCTGCACAAAAAACACTCTTTCATATGGTAGTGTGTCACAGACACAGGGCTAATCTGACATTAGGCCTTGTGCCGCAGTGAGTAAATTTAGTCCAAAAATCAATGCAAGTCAGGGACCGCAAATCCACAAAAGACACACTGTAGATACAGACGTAAATCAATAAACTTGTGTGTCTCGACACCTTTTGTTTTTCCGGGATGTATTTTTTCCTCTCTACTTGTAGAACTCGTGCTCCTGCTCGTCCTTTTTGATGACGGTCTTGTAAGCTTTTTCGAAGTCTTTGGCCAGGACGATATACCTGTTCTCACGCACTGCCAACATGCCAGCCTGAGACAGCAGAGGAGGAAATAAACAGAGGGAGGAAATCAAAAAGTGAGTATGTATATTTTTTAACTGTTCTATACACATTTTTCCATTAGTTTTAATTTTCCACAGCTCCAAGAAAGAAAGAGACATGTTTAGAGTTACACAATCAAAGCTCCAACTCACCTCCTGGCAGATGGAGTTGATATCGGCTCCAGAGATCTTGTCTGGCCTGGCCACATCTGTGCATCAGTTAAGGACGACTGAACAACACAGCAATGCCAAAATACAAGCAACAATCATCTGAGTATCTAAACTGTGTTGAAATCTAAAGGAATACTGGAACGATGCAGTGTAAACAGGCTGCAGACTCTCGACACTAACACTGTCTGAATTGCAAATGAACCAGCTGTTGCATGTTTTGATTCAAGGTTTCACTGAGTTTTATCTTTGTGATTCTGAGTTCATTTTTTTTGCATGTTTGTCAGTTTTCAGGCTGCACAAACAGTTCAGAACAGCTACGCTGTTGTGCAGCACTGAGTCTGGTGGCATCCACAGAGAGCTTTTATCAGTCAAACAGGAAGCACAACCCCAAGTTTTCCACTACAGAAGATCAAACATTCACAATGAAAAGCACGTCAAACTCAGAGCTATTTCTTAAATGTGATAGTGACGCAACTACACAAGTGAGGCCAAACATCTGGACAGCAGCAGAGAATTTTCAACAAGAACACAGGAATAGGACTGATGAATTCCTGCTGTCAGGCTCTGCATTTTGAATAAAAGATAAAATAGTGTGCAAGTCTAAGCTCATATGACTGGACCTGGTTACCAACTGACTGACTCTGCCAAACTTTTAATTGTAGATTTAATACTTAGTACCGTACAAACTGTTTTTAACACAAGCTCTACCCTGCTGTATGGTTTACAGAGGCAACAACCAGTGATTTAGCCAACTTCCCATCATGAGCTAACTATCCAGCTACCCACTCACCTTTTTACCTGCAGACAGATTAAGTATTACACTAACACATGCACCACACACAATACTGCACCCATTTATGCATGTAAACATGGATCAGAAGAAGCCCAAAAGCTTTTGCTTGGGGCAAAAATGTCCTTAAAAATGTTTGTAAGACAGTTTTTGAATACTAGACAACAGCCAGGAGGAGGATGAGAAAGCACTGGCTGTAGTCCAAGACAATAACTCTATGCAAACAACTGTAATATCCCATATGGAAACACACTGCATTTGCTGTATGTAAAACAAAGGTATTATATTATACTATGCAAATCCATCACACTGTTACACATGCAGACACAAACACACAACCTAACTCGCTGTTACTGAACCAAAAGGATACAGTCCTCCAAGTCGACCTCCTCAGAGAGGTTCATTTTACTGGTGATGGTGGAGAAAACGAGACGTTTCTGCCTGCGGTCGGGCAGGGGGAACTCAATCTTTCTGTCCAGGCGACCAGGACGTAGCAGGGCCGGGTCCAGTGTGTCTGCTCTGTTGGTGGCCATGATCACCTAGGAGGAGTTCAAATGTGAGCATGATGGTATACTGTAAACATATGTGATGTGATGTGATGTGGGGTGGTTTGGCTTCACACAGAATGTTTGCTTCTGGCTCAGTGAGGGGAAGATAATGAGTCAAACTGAGGCAATGGTTTCACTGATGCTTTGGAACTGGTGGCCAAACAGGGAGAACCTCAGCGGAGAAGACTAAATCACTGCTTAGTGTTTATTTTATCCAGATCACCTGCAAACGGCTGGTTAAGGCTGGCCACATACAACTTTCAGTGGCAAAATACTACAATATTAATATGTTTGAATTATTATGTCACTCCTGAGGTTGCATTAGACTCTCATTTTCTGTCATTCTGACAGTCAGGATTGTAAAAATTCTGTCATAACCTTTTATTACTCTCCATTTTCATTTTTTAAGACGATAACAAGACATATTTAATAGCATTAAAATTTCATTCTTTTAAATAATTAATATACAGAGCAAGTTTATAGATTATGCATGTGGGAGCAGGGGTGTAGTGCTATTTGTTTTTGTGCCACAGTGCAGCTATGACGTGCATGTGCACAGTTAAGTTGTGGCTCGTCTCGGAGGTTATGTAACCACTGTTCCTGTGGTGCTAAGTTTACATACATTTGTCATCTAAAATTAAAAAAATAAAAGGGTGTTTTGCTGCCTTTTTTTCATCTAACTAATTAAACATTTACAGCTATAGGCCGAGAAAAAATAATTTAGTTCACTTTGCTGCTTAAAGGCTACCACTAGCAGCTACTAGCAACTTTTAAGGTGGAATATTTTCTTGCATGTTACTCAATGTATGAGATGTTCTGAATCTATCAACACTCCTAAATATCAATATGACAACCAGGTCATTTGTTTATAATTGTCTTTCTTGCATGACATACGCTTCAGTGATGATTTGATATTCAAGTGCTTGAAAAAAACTCACTTGGAGATAAAAAGTGGTAGGGCGTCGTTCCTGTGCACTCTGCAGCACTACACCACTATTTATAAGGGCATAGACAAAAGATAAACTATAAACAGAGATACCACTTGCTAAGAATGTGGCAAGTTGCCATGATATGCAGCAATATTAACTACCAATGCAATGACTGAAGCCAGTTAGACAACACAGCACAAAAAGGACAGGTGTGTGGATTACTCTAAGTAACAGTAAATTACCCACAATGTTCTGATCTGTCAAAATGATGGACAACCTTCAGATTTTTCTGGTAAGTATTCAGTCAGTGACAAAAAAATATTCAGTTAACCCAACCTCTGTGTTACTCTTTGCATTGTCACTGCTATTTTACCAGTAGAAACAGAGTATGTCTGGCATAAAATAGCACACAGAGAACTGCATTTGCTTTGTTTATAGTGTGACAGGACACAAAGCTACAGCTCTTCATCTAACAGGATTTGTCAATGAAATATGTGAAGTGTCTGCCCCCCCAAAAAACCCTTGGAAAATTTAATTCTTCATGGAAAAAAACAGTTCCTTTAAATACGCAGACACCTTCTTTATATACTGAGGGCACTCTTTGTGCAAGTTTGAGCTGCATTTGCTTATCAGCAACATGTCTATTTTAGGTTTTGAAGGTTGAGAACAAACACTCTGGGTGCTTTCTGAGCTGAATGAATGGACACAGGGCACAGTGAAAATGGCTGGGTGAATGAATAGCTGGTTTTGACAGTGCTCAAGTGCCATCACTGACCCTACAAGTCAGTACACACAGAGCTGGAGGAGTCACAAGGGAAAAGTTTAGAGCTTCCTCAGACAGGTGAACTTCGCTTACCTTGACATTGACGTTCTGGTCAAAACCGTCCATTTGATTAAGAAGCTCAAGTAGGATTCTCTGCACCTCCCTATCAGCTGCAGACGAAAACAAGGTCACAGGGTTCATTTCTTACCATGATGTTACTGCATTTACAAGGATGTGATCAACAAAACAAACTTCTTAAAATGAGAACCTTAACTTCAGTAACAAAAACTATTGTAATGTTTGTCCCTGATAAACTGAAATCTATAATAGTTTGTATACAGCAAGTCGACACGTGAGCCACTCATGTTAATACCTCCAGTCTGTGCATCAAAACGCTTTGTGGCGATGGCGTCAATCTCATCAATGAAGATGATGGCTGGAGCATTTTCCTTCGCCAGCCGGAAGACATCACGTACCATACGAGGGCCTTCACCCAAATACTTCTGCACAAACTCAGAGCCAACCACACGGATGAACGCCGCTGTGGACAGAGAGATTAAAACAAAGATGAATTCTTCTATTTATTGTATATACTCGTTATCAACAATTGAGGAAAAAAAAACGTATCAGGACAGGTTTCCTTCCATTTAATTTAAATAGACAGTCTTTTAAGTGTCAAAGACATACAAAATCCTCTTGCTGTGGACAGAGGACACATTTTGCCCACTGGAAACTTTCCATTTCCATTTTAAAAATAAGTGACATTTCAAACATTTCTGAATAACACTGTAAGAACACTGAACAAAAACTTTTCCAAAAGACAACAGGTTACTAACTCACACACACCAATCAACTTGGGCCTTTCCGAAACCACCCCCTACACACTTCCACTCCATTGCCACGTTCAAGCAAAGTATCTGCCACATTGAGTATCGCCCAGACCAACTAGTGAGAAGTGGAAGTGGGTTATAAAACCCTCAAACAGCGAGCCTGCACCTATGACGACTTACTGACCACGTGCAACGCAGAACTGTGTTCGTCATGGAAGACGCTCCACACAAATCCACGTCACTACCCTGAAGAATGTAAACTGTTGAAACTAGGATAGACATTTAATATTGTCAAAGAGATGTTAACATCTTAAACGCTGCACTGTATTTAGGATCAACTATGCACCTCTCTGGTCTCTATAAAACTGTACTCTTGTTTATTTTATAGTAAAGTTTAACAGGAAATGTTGCAAAAACCGAGCAGCTTCTAAACATCAGAGTGAAAACGAGATGTTAACAAAAGTAAAAAGAAATGTGGAGTAAATAGCAGCACAAATCAAATAAAAGTAATTCAAATACATATGAAGAACATTATATGAGAGTAATTTCACTTCTCTCCATGGCTACCAAATATAACAACAGAACAGCTCCTTTTTCAGCTGCAGAGAAGGAAGTGTGTCCCAAAGCTTGGCACTGTACTTACACCCTACACCTTGATATAGGGTGCGAACTGGGAGTGGGTAGGTTCCGGTTTTGGAAAGGCCCCTTGCTGTTCTTCCCTCAGTGCATGTTGCTAGCGTTACAAATTTCACATCACGTGCATCAATCTACATACCGTGTATTCTGCATGTGGCTGCGTGCACAAGACTATTACTGCGACAGTTCAGGACAAACACACCAACCCTTACAGCCCTAGCTGATATTACTTATACTCAGCAGTAATCTGTGTTGTTTTAAGTAATGACATAGTGTATGTTTAAGTGTTTGCATCCATACGAAAAAGAGGGAAATGGCTTTCTGTCTAGTTTGGTATAAAACACGACATCTTCTTACATTAACACACACAAGTCTCTTATAGGTGGGAATTACCTGTGGTGTGGTGTGCCACAGCCTTGGCCAACATGGTCTTACCACAACCCGGAGGTCCGTACATAAGGACACCCCTGGGTGGGTCAATGCCAATCTGAGAAAGGAGACAGACCAGAGTTATTATCTAGCACAAGTTTTTGAGAGAGCCAAAGTTCACTCCATGAAAAATATGTTTTGTCCATGGAAAAAAAGTCACATTTCTCTTTAATATCTGACCTGTTTGTAGAGCTCAAAGTGTGTGAGTGGCAGCTCTACAGCTTCTCGGACTTCCTGCTTCTGGATGTCCATACCACCAATGTCAGCATACATGACGTCTGGCTTTTGGTCTGGGAGCAGAAACACAGTGACAAGGACAGTTAGCTTCTTTTCAAACTGTAGACTTTATACAAGAACTCTGACAGTCTATAACAACTTAAAGAAAATGGCATCTGTAGATTTTTAACAGATATAATGAATAGACAACTGATCAGGATTCCAGCTTGCCTGATAGTGGAAATCATGAATACAATATTCTGTGAAACTAGTAGAAAAATGTCTCCATATGTGACCATGGACGTCTTTGTTGAGGAGCTATTAAAACAGGCCCAGAAAGCTTCTGTGAGAGAGTCTTTTACCTGATGTCAGCATCATGATACTGCTGTCAGCTTCAGGAGGGAGCACATCCACCAGCGCGTTGCTGTGCTTGTGCAAGGCCACTGAGGCGTTGGGCTTCAGCAGCTCTCTGTCGATGGTGCTCAGGATGCGCACATAGTAGTTGGACCCTGAAAACAGAGCAAAGATGAATAAATGGAGAAAGAACACAGGAACAGAACTCATTACACATTTACAACATGTACTTCACACTAAATAATTAAAATTTCACAGCACACAGTACATCTCCTCTAGGTTCTCTCTCAAGACTCTGAAAGCTGAACATGATAAAGCATTCAAATATACAGCATGTACGCATCATCTGCCATTTCATTAATATTTAATTCTCTGCTTTATCTATTTATTTATTTATTTATTTATTTATTTATTTTCACAGTCATTATTTCAAGGTTTGAATGCATACTTTTTTGTTCTCTGTTTATCTCTTGGAATTTTAAGACTAGTGAGAACTGAACTGTTCCTTAGTGCAGAAATTACCGCCTTAATATTGAGCTTGACTTGAACCAAAACTTAAGCCACAGTATAAAAAGTCTGTGAAACACACAGGAGGAAACAACAGATTCTATGTCAGTGTTTTAGGGCAAACTAGAGAGCAGGTGTAACCTCTCATCTCTACTACTGAAAAGCCTTCAGGGCCAAATATTGAAGCCAAATGTGGTATTGACATATTCTCAGTCAGAAATTTCCCATAGGTCTTAAATAGACTGTATGATCATCGTTTATGAGCACACCTGTCCATGTTTGTATTACTCAAAACTATTATTGGCAGCACAGTATTATTTTACTCTGTATAGGTATCTTACATTGTGCCATTTTGCTTTTAATGTTACCTGTAGTGGAGCCAACAATGGCTGTATTCTGGTCAACAGCTTCCAGGAACTGGCCAATGACAAGTGGAATGCTCTGTATCCTCTTCACCTCCTCCTGAGCATGGAGAAACTCTTTCTTCAGGTTCTTCTGTTCATCTTTGATGTACTCCTCCTGCACCTCCAGGAACTCCAGCTCCTGCTGCAGCTTCTAAAAACCCATAAAGCAAACAGGGCTGTAGTAAGAAGGGTGAGAGCCTACTGAGGCTGAAAGAACCATTAATCTGCTTGTGTGTGGACATAGACAGTTGAAGAACTACTAAAACACAAACATTTAAGAACAAACATTTTGTAATCCCTTTTGGGGAAAAAAAGAATACAGCTGAAACTGTTTTCACTTTAAAGGCCTTAAGCTTGAATACAATCTGATTCCCAACTGGTCCAACCACGGGGTCCAGATTTTTCTTTAGTCATTTGTTCAAGGTCCACACCGCTCAGTGAATTCAGCACCATACTTGCATTTGGCCATGTTATTGAGTTAGTTAGCTGTCTCTGTCATGTAGCTGTCCGTTAGTCATTCACCCTACAGCAGGGAATGGTACTTCAATGTCAAAGTTCTGAACGGGAAATTCACTGTACTTCAAAATAAAGTGTTTTTTTTTTTTTCCGCAAACTTGACATGTTCACGAGTCACTTGCAGTCCATTCAGAATGGACCAGGACCCACCAGTTGGTGACCACTGTCCTTAAATATATATTATGTTCCAAGGTCTGAATTTTAATCAGCCAATATAAACTGCTGAGATGGTAAATTTGATTGCAGGAGCCTGTTGCACAACTCCATCCGTACAGTATGTAAAATACGCTCTGGTGAAGCACCATGTAGTGTGCACCTGGTTATACTGAAAGCATCAAATTGCATAAGAGTCTTTCTGTGAGGCAGCCCTAAATATACGTAGGGTCGCAAGTTTCTAGGTAAACTATCAAGTTATTATTTTCTTTCACTCTTGATAAGTAATTTATTCTAGTTCACTTTACAGGCGCACAAAAAAAGGTAATGTCAGAAACCGCCTATGTTTAAAAATGTTCAAAGTTAAAAGAAGAAGGAAGGTACAGTACAGGCCAAAAGTTTGGACACACCTTCTCATTCAATGCATTTTCTTTATTTTCATGACTATTTACATTGTAGATTCTCACTGAAGGCATCAAAACTATGAATGAACACATGTGGAGTTATGTACCTAACAAAAAAAAGTGAAATAACTGAAAACATGTTTTATATTCTAGTTTCTTCAAAATAGCCACCCTTTGCTCTGATTACTGCTTTGCACACTCTTGGCATTCTCTCCATGAGCTTCAAGAGGTAGTCACCTGAAATGGTTTCCACTTCACAGGTGTGCCTTATCAGGGTTAATTAGTGGAATTTCTTGCTTTATCAATGGGGTTGGGACCATCAGTTGTGTTGTGCAGAAGTCAGGTTAATACACAGCCGACAGCCCTATTGGACAACTGTTAAAATTCATATTATGGCAAGAACCAATCAGCTAACTAAAGAAAAACGAGTGGCCATCATTACTTTAAGAAATGAAGGTCAGTCAGTCCGGAAAATTGCAAAAACTTTAAATGTGTCCCCAAGTGGAGTCGCAAAAACCATCAAGCGCTACAACGAAACTGGCACACATGAGGACCGACCCAGGAAAGGAAGACCAAGAGTCACCTCTGCTTCTGAGGATAAGTTCATCCGAGTCACCAGCCTCAGAAATCGCAAGTTAACAGCAGCTCAGATCAGAGAGCAGATGAATGCCACACAGAGTTCTAGCAGCAGACCCATCTCTAGAACAACTGTTAAGAGGAGACTGCGCCAATCAGGCCTTCATGGTCAAATAGCTGCTAGGAAACCACTGCTAAGGAGAGGCAACAAGCAGAAGAGATTTGTTTGGGCCAAGAAACACAAGGAATGGACATTAGACCAGTGGAAATCTGTGCTTTGGTCTGATGAGTCCAAATTTGAGATCTTTGGTTCCAACCGCCGTGTCTTTATGAGACGCAGAAAAGGTGAACGGATGGATTCCACATGCCTGGTTCCCACTGTGAAGCATGGAGGAGGAGGTGTGATGGTGTGGGGGTGTTTTGCTGGTGATACTGTTGGGGATTTATTCAAAATTGAAGGCACACTGAACCAGAATGGCTACCACAGCATCCTGCAGCGACATGCCATCCCATCCGGTTTGCGTTTAGTTGGACGATGATTTATTTTTCAACAGGACAATGACCCCAAACACACCTCCAGGCTGTGTAAGGGCTATTTGACCAAGAAGGAGAGTGATGGAGTGCTGCGGCAGATGACCTGGCCTCCACAGTCACCGGACCTGAACCCAATCGAGATGGTTTGGGGTGAGCTGGACCGCAGAGTGAAGGCAAAGGGGCCAACAAGTGCTAAACACCTCTGGGAACTCCTTCAAGACTGTTGGAAAACCATTTCAGGTGACTACCTCTTGAAGCTCATCGAGAGAATGCCAAGAGTGTGCAAAGCAGTAATCAGAGCAAAGGGTGGCTATTTTGAAGAAACTAGAATATAAAACATGTTTTCAGTTATTTCACCTTTTTTTGTTAAGTACATAACTCCACGTGTTCATTCATAGTTTTGATGCCTTCAGTGAGAATCTACAATGTAAATAGTCATGAAAATAAAGAAAACGCATTGAATGAGAAGGTGTGTCCAAACTTTTGGCCTGTACTGTATATCTTAGATAAACCTTGTGTAAATGTAGCATGTGTGTAATGTATTGCTATTCCTCTGTAATTATATCCCAATAAACAGCCATAATTGACATTTTGTGTCACTTAATACCATCATGTAAATCACTGAAAAATCAAATGGTATGGGCAGCCTTTCAGAAGATTGAAACTACTGTAATTTCACGTGCATACTTTAATTGTCCATGATATATATTTGTCATTATTGGAATACGTTGTACTTTAAATTTAGGCAGAGGTCTGAAAACTGATGTTTCAACCACCAGCCCCTCACACATAAACACTGGACTCTATTATGGTAAAACACAACTGTATTAACAGATATCAGACCTTGTATCTGCTGTAAAGGTCCTCAAGATCTTCTGGTTCAGGTGCCAGGAAGGACAGACCCGTCTGGGGTCTGGAGGTCAGTATTGCCGGCATGTCTTCCTGTGGATGTCACAACATCAAAAAACATTTAGCATGAACAAACTGCAAAATTTAACATCACACAACAGTGAAAAGCTTGCGCTGCAGTTCACCCAAACAACCTGAAAACATATATTTAAGATACAGACGACTTTTGGGTTCACATCAGGGGACAGCAGAAGTGTAACTTCACAGATAAAACTAATGTATGCTCGGTTATTACCTGACACCTCACAGAGACAAACACTACCTTAGCTAAACTTAGCTTGCTAACAGCTAGCTAACTTCAACGGCTCGCATAAACAATAACTAGCTATTTAAAGCCGTTTAGGAAGCACCGGACAATGATGGAAACATCATCTAACATCAATCTTTGGTGAATATAGCTTAACCAAACCCTCAGCTACTTTAAGGCAATTTAATTTTCTCGACCTCTTCAAACATCATGCTAACGCTAGCAGCTAACTTGCATGACATAGCACCTACACTGAGTAGAGAATGAATTGGCAGGTTTATGTTTCGGCAGTGCTAACAAGCAAACAAACGGTAATACACTGCGACAAACACTCACAGATAGCCACACTCAAACGCTTACATTTACAAAAGCCTACCACAGAAAGCCTGTCAATTTTAAAAGAAAAACAGGAAACAATCTGACTGATTCATACCGGGCTCTTTTCTACAGCGACGACGTCCTCCATGTTGTTGTTCTTCTTCTACTCTCGGTTTACCAGCGGAACGCAAAAAATACAAGGTGCATACTGCCACCTACCGTTCAAGACTAATTCATTTAAAACCAGCGCCATTTTCTATATGGTCTTGAAAAAGGCAAACCCATCTCCATCATGTTTACTTTTTTTCATTTTTTGTTAGTCACTTGCATCTATAACAACATTATTCATTCATCCATCCATCCATTTCCATCCGCTTACCAGGTGACCCACCCCAGATGTCCCATACCCAGCAATGCTTGCCCCAAGGCGTTCTCAGACCAGATGAGATATGTAATCCCTCCAGCACTTCCTGGGTCTGCCCTGGGTTTGCCCTGGGTCTGCTCCGGGGCCTCCTACCAGTGGGACGTGCCCGGAGAGCTCTAACAGAAGGCACCCAGCAGGCATCCTGATCAGATGCCCAAAACCACCTTAACTGACCTCCTTTGGACACAAAGGAGCAGCGGCTCTACTCGAAGATGCCTCTGATCACTATTTCATAACTATAAATCAGCTATTCTATAAATCAAGTATTCTACAAGTATAAATAAACTATCAAAATTGTTAAATTAAATTAATAATTCCTTAATTTTTTTAAAAATTTTATTTGGTATTTTTTGTACAGATATGTAATGACGACTGCTGAGTAATATGTGTGTTGATGTTATCCAATGTCATGTCTCTGATCATGTGACAAGACCATACGTGCACGATAGCATGCACTAGGGTCCAATATAATAGCATGCACTAGGGCCCATCATCACTACTTTACAGCACTGCTTCACACCACTGCTTCGCATCAGCCTTTTGTCGTTTAATCACTATGGTTTCATATACCAAATATTGGAATTTTTGTTGAGATGTGATTTTCAGATTTCTAAACTGCTGATCAAGCTGTCAGATTTCCATAAACAGATATTGTATTACTGGAAAGTGACATTCAACAATTTCAACACGCATGGCTCCACCTTGTGTAATAGAAGAACAATTACAGCTAATAGAGAGACTTATTAAAGTGAGTGATTTGAGGAAAAGTTTTATGGGATGTTGATTTGACAGAGGAACATGGCCATTTTACACAGCTCAGTTCAGTTTTGGAAAAGTTTGACTCAAAGATGGTATCTTCATACTTTTTGCTAAGTCTGAAGAAGAGTATTCAGCACAAAACTTTACTAATCTTTTTGTCTAGCACCTGCCTTAAATGTTTTTTGGATGTGCACCACTGCTATGTTTTTCATGTCTTTTTACACATCAGTTATTTGACAGAAAGGGACAGCACAGTGTGGTCTGAGAAAAAACTTTTACTATTCATGACAGTTCCACTGTGATGGGACATCAAATCCATCATCTTGTGGGTCCTGTACTCCACAGTGAACATCACTCTGTGTAAATCCACATAAACCTGTACACCGGCGTGCCCCAAACTGTACATAGGCCTACTTTACAGCATACACAGTAACATATAGGTTATGGAACTGCAGTGTGTCCTGTTTATTAGTAAAAACACAAATGTACCTTACAGATATAAACTATACCATTTGCAGATACTCATTTTGTCATCACCTGTATCCCTCCAGTGTTAGTATTATATGATCATTTTGAAATGAATAGGAAAATCCATTCTACTTCCTTTAAAACACAAGATAAAACATATCTATTCAAATGTGCCTGTAAAGTTGCCTGCATTGAAGGTCAGTCAAGTGTACATTTAAAAAAGTCACTGGTAAGATAATAAAGTAAGTTATTTTCTCATTTGGAAAAAAAAGCAGTGAGAAAGTAAGAATGATTGATAACTGTAGACTATACACTTTTTGTTGTGGTATTTTTACTGCTGCTCCACATAGGCCTATTGTGCACCTATGCTGACCTCATAATCACCATAAAGATGTCAGTTAATGCCTGTGTGTGTCCTCCCCCACAACTCGCAACAGATTTATGACTTTTTTGCATATTGTTTCTGAGTGTTTTGAAATGTTCTTTTCATGTACAGTACAGGCCAAAAGTTTGGACACACCTTCTCATTCAATGCGTTTTCTTTATTTTCATGAGTATTTACATTGTAGATTCTCACTGAAGGCATCAAAACTATGAATGAACACATGTGGAGTTATGTACTTAACAAAAAAAGGTGAAATAACTGAAAACATGTTTTATATTCTAGTTTCTTCAAAATAGCCACCCTTTGCTCTGATTACTGCTTTGCACACTCTTGGCATTCTCTCCATGAGCTTCAAGAGGTAGTCACCTGAAATGGTTTTCCAACAGTCTTGTTCCCAGAGGTGTTTAGCACTTGTTGGCCCCTTTGCCTTCACTCTGCGGTCCAGCTCACCCCAAACCATCTCGATTGGGTTCAGGTCCGGTGACTGTGGAGGCCAGGTCATCTGCCGCAGCACTCCATCACTCTCCTTCTTGGTCAAATAGCCCTTACACAGCCTGGAGGTGTGTTTGGGGTCATTGTCCTGTTGAAAAATAAATAATCGTCCAACTAAACGCAAACCGGATGGGATGGCATGTCGCTGCAGGATGCTGTGGTAGCCATGCTGGTTCAGTGTGCCTTCAATTTTGAATAAATCCCCAACAGTATCACCAGCAAAACACCCCCACACCATCACACCTCCTCCTCCATGCTTCACAGTGGGAACCAGGCATGTGGAATCCATCCGTTCACCTTTTCTGCGTCTCACAAAGACACGGCGGTTGGAACCAAAGATCTCAAATTTGGACTCATCAGACCAAAGCACAGATTTCCACTGGTCTAATGTCCATTCCTTGTGTTTCTTGGCCCAAACAAATCTCTTCAGCTTGTTGCCTCTCCTTAGCAGTGGTTTCCTAGCAGCTATTTGACCATGAAGGCCTGATTCGCGCAGTCTCCTCTTAACAGTTGTTCTAGAGATGGGTCTGCTGCTAGAACTCTGTGTGGCATTCATTTGCTCTCTGATCTGAGCTGCTGTTAACTTGCGATTTCTGAGGCTGGTGACTCGGATGAACTTATCCTCAGAAGCAGAGGTGACTCTTGGTCTTCCTTTCCTGGGTCGGTCCTCATGTGTGCCAGTTTCGTTGTAGCGCTTGATGGTTTTTGCGACTCCACTTGGGGACACATTTAAAGTTTTTGCAATTTTCCGGACTGACTGACCTTCATTTCTTAAAGTAATGATGGCCACTCGTTTTTCTTTAGTTAGCTGATTGGTTCTTGCCATAATATGAATTTTAACAGTTGTCCAATAGGGCTGTCGGCTGTGTATTAACCTGACTTCTGCACAACACAACTGATGGTCCCAACCCCATTGATAAAGCAAGAAATTCCACTAATTAACCCTGATAAGGCACACCTGTGAAGTGGAAACCATTTCAGGTGACTACCTCTTGAAGCTCATAGAGAGAATGCCAAGAGTGTGCAAAGCAGTAATCAGAGCAAAGGGTGGCTATTTTGAAGAAACTAGAATATAAAACATGTTTTCAGTTATTTCACCTTTTTTTGTTAAGTACATAACTCCACATGTGTTCATTCATAGTTTTGATGCCTTCAGTGAGAATCTACAATGTAAATAGTCATGAAAATAAAGAAAACGCATTGAATGAGAAGGTGTGTCCAAACTTTTGGCCTGTACTGTATATCTGCCATATCTAGCCACAAAACACCCCATTTTTTCTCCTTAAGTATGACACTTAAGGCTTAATTTCTCCTTCGCTGAATGACAGTTGCACAGAATCCCTTAAAAGGTTTCCTTAGTTAAGGAAAAACATTAAATCATTTATTGCGTTAAAAGAGATTTTAAAACTGTAAAAGTTTCCATGAAGATTGTGTGTTTGCTTGTTAGATGGTGGAAAAATGGCAGAAGAAAAGAGGACAAGAAGACTGTACTGGTCAGAGGAGGAGAAGATTATACTTCTGGAGGAATACAGTCATAGACAGCACAGACTGCAAAGTAAATTTGATCCTCAAACACCAGAAACAGAAAATGATTATAGGAAGAAACTGCAATGGAAATTAATTCAGTCAAATGTGTAGTGTAAAATCAGAAGTATATTCATTTATTTTCCATTTATTGCCATAATCTCGGTCATGTTGCAGTTAAGATAGAGTCAGAGGTACCTTAGGGTTAAGTATAAGACAAGCACCATAAATACTTAAATGGATTTAAGGAGAAGACCTAAGGAGGTTTTGAGCGACCAATTTTATTCTGAAGAGACCCTAACTAGGACTTTAAGGAAAGTCTCAATTTAAGGTGTTAAATTATATTCTCGATCAGCGAGTGCAAAGTCTGAAGGAAGAGCCTACAATTTCTAGCCAATGACAGCTGCATCCGCGGGTCACATGATACCGTCCCTTGACGTCATTTCTCTGCGACTCCCTCTGCTAGTTAGCTCCATGTGAGGAGCCTTCACCAAAGTTGTCCTTAAAAATAGGTAAGTCGTTTATGAATGTGGTACCTGGTGGTGCTGTGAGTTCAGTCTGAACTCTGTCTTTGTAAGTAAAGCTGAGTTTAGTGAGAGGAGGCGGAATGAGGCGCTGCCGGCGGTCAGCTGCGTCTCACAGCAGCTCTCCATTTGGCGACAAGGTCAGGATTTAACGTTACGTGACAGGAGGAACTCTCTGGTTGCCGGTTCTGTCAAGATTGCGGTGATAATGCGAGAGATGTTGCAGTCAAGGTTGCAACAACAAATGTACGGCTAACGTCAACCTTGTTAGCTACGTAAGTGTCATTGTGCACCTCATGTAAGCGCCTGCGTTATAGGTTACACAACTTCCTCGATGGTGACAGCCCACTACCCATGAGCTCTGTATGTGTCGAACCTGGTCAGGGAGATATTGTGTAGTCAACACGAAGGTGAACATTTGACAGTATGTACTTGTTGCTTAATTAAAGATGTGTAACCTCTCCTTTTAACCTCTGGCCCCTCAGCTTTATTGTGGGATGGTGACGCCAGCTGCTGCATTGTGAGAAACCTCTCTCCTCTCCTACCTGCCTCCACAGTCTTGTCTCTCTGACCAAATGGCCAGCCGCCTCTTGGGCAGATATGCCCGTCTGCTGGGCAGAGCCTCCTCCAAGACTCCAGCTGCTGTGACAGTTGCCCG